GCAGTGCTGATGCTGAGAGTAGCCCGAGTGCCCCAGGAAAGCCCACGGCCCAAATCTCTGCCCCCATTGGCACAAGGGCACGGGTTTTTCACAGGGCTGTGCGGGCAGGCGAGCATTTGCTCACTCCCCCCGACCCGGCTCCCTTTGCAGGAGGAAGGGGAAGGGGTGGGTGGGTGGTGGTACCCCGCGGTCCCCCGCGGCCGCAGCCCTGGGGAGGTGCCCACGGCACGTTTCCGGGGGAGAAGGAGGTGCGAGGTGCCCACGGCACGTTTAGAAGGGCGAAGGGCGCAGCTGGGACACGGTGCACAACACCAGCCAGCCTCTCGGCAGGGCCGGAGCAGAGTGGGGATGGAGAGGGGTGACAGCACAGGGGGGCGATTTGGCAACAGGTCTGCGTAGAGCTTTGGCAGGGTGCCGAGAGGAGGCTGGCAGGGATAAATAAGGAGCAGCACATCCCAGGCTGCTAAGATGGGTGCCAACACCGCAGGAGACAGACCCCCCCGATGGGATCTTGGGGGGGGTCATGGGGGTCTGACACCTCTGTGCAACCCACCACCAGCCCAAAGGTGGCTGAAAGCCAGGGGCCGTCCCTGTCCCCTTCCCCTCAGGGTACAGGTGTCCCCAATAAGCGGCTGCCAGCCCCGTGCCCTGCAGCGTGGTGGGAAGCAAGGGTGCAGAGGAGCTGTGCCGTGTCCCGGGCATTTCCCTGGGGGGGTCCCAGAGAGCAGGGCATTGCACCTGGCTGAAACGCAGCCCCCGCACAGGGCCAGCTGCCCAGTGAGGAGCACAGCCCACATCCTGCTCACCGCTGAGATATTCCTGCCTGCCGCAGCCATGGGCAGGTCCCACGTGGGCACAGCCCCGGTGCTCGCCGTGGGCTCCTCTGCCTGCGGTGCCCAGCTGGGGCTGAACCTGCTTGTCCTCGGGCACTCGGGGCCCCGCCAGCCGGTCCTGCTCGGTGCTGCCAGCGCCAGGCCGCGGGGACAGAGCTGTGTTTGCTCTCTTATCTCCATGCAGGGCAAGGCACGAGCACAGGCTGGCACTGCTTGGCCGGGGCTGGGAGGTGCCGCTCGGTGCTGCCAGCGCCAGGCCGCGGGGACAGAGCTGTGTTTGCTCTCTTATCTCCATGCAGGGCAAGGCATGAGCACGGGCTGGCACCGCTTGGCCGGGGCTGGGAGGTGCCATGGTGGGCACAGGCACCCTCTCCCAGGGTGACTGGGGACCACTGGCTGTCCCCGTCCCCTCCTCGTGTCACCACTGGACCCTGAGGGGACATGCTCAGCCCAGACCAAGAACTGAACTCAGCTGGACACGGCTGTAGTACAAATGCAAGTTGTATTTCCAGTCCATGCTGAGGAACCCCAGTCCGTCTGTCCCAGGCGTGGGCAGCGCAGCCCACGGCACAGCCCTGCTCTGCCCGCAGAGCCCCTCCAGTTCCCAGCCCCATGCCGGGGACATGGCCCCAGTGCAGGAAGGTCTCCCACTCCATCTGCCCCTTTGCTGCTGCAGTGATGTGTCACCCGCTGCCCGGTGGGATGCAGGCGATGCCCAGCTCTGGGGTCACCTCCCTCAGCTGCCCGCTCCAGCTCCTCCGCTGCCTCACCTGCTCTGGGCTCACTGGCAGCACCGGGGCATCCCGGGCGCCTGGGTTCACAGGCTTGCTCCCAGGCTGGCATCACCACCCAGCACCAGCCTCAGGGGCAAAGCGGGAGCAGGGCTCCTCTTCCCATGCATGGCCCAGCCTGGAGGCACAAACCCAGCGCTATTTATCGAGGATGAGGAAGAGCAGCACCATCAGGACGATGGGGAGGAAGATGAGGAGCAGGCTGAGCATCTCGGCTGCCAGCAGCAACGCCAGCACCAGGAGGTAGCAGCAGCGGCAGCGGCGCTCCAGCCGCCCCAGCCCACGGATGAGGCAGGGCGGGTAGCGGACGCAGGGCAGGCACCCAAACATGCGGCTGGTGTGGAAGCGCACCTGGAAGCGATGCTCAAGGGCGCCAGCAAGGCCTGGGCGCCGGGGCGGCAGGGAGGGGGGCCGGGGAGTGGCCAGGGCACTGGGGGAGCTGGGCTGGGCGTGCAGCAGGAGCAGCTCCTCTTGCAGCTTGCAGATCTCCCACTCCAGCATGGGCGTCTTCTGGCGGCAGATGGGGCAGCGCACGCGGCCGAACTCGGCGCCGGCAGCTGTGTCCATGATGGCGCGCAGGCAGGCGCGGCACAGCCCATGGTTGCAGTTGAGCAGGGCCGGTTTGTGCCGCTGGTCGTCGTAGGGCTCCGTGCAGATGGGGCACTCATCCTCGCTGCCTGCCGGCACATGGCATGGCTCTGCCGCCGCCTCGCTGCTCAATGTCTCCTCTTCCTCACCAGAGAGGCTCAGGATGGAGCTGGAGGCGCTTTCCAGGCTGGGTGACCCCCCCTGTGGCGTTGGGCTCTCCCCACGGGGCAGGATGGGGCTGGTGGCGGCGGCAGCGGGAGGGTCCTGCCCCGCAGGCAGGGAGGCACCATGGGCAGGCGGCTCATCATGCCCGGGCAGGAGTGGCTCGGTTGCGTCCTCCGCCGGCGGCGGGTTCCAGCGTCCCCAGGCAGCGGCAGGCGCCTCTCCACAGAGCCAGGGCGGCTCCCCGGGGCCCTCCGACCCCGCAGTCTCGCTCTCACCCCGCTGCCCGGCACAGCCCTCCCCACCAGCTGCCTGCACCGGCTGGGGGCCAGGCTCTGCCTCCTCACCTGCTGCTGGGTCCATGGGGGCAGCTGCTCCACGGCCGCCCCCCTCACCCACCACCCCCTGAGTCCCCCTCGGCCTGGGTGCGGGATGTGGGTGCTGCTCCAGGGCAGGAGGTGGCCTTCAGCACGGCTGCTGGAAGGGTTTAAAGGCAGCAACATCCGCAGAGAGTCCCCTCATCCCTCCGGCACAGTTTGGAGCCCCCTCCCAGGCCGACGGGTCAGGAGCCCCCAAAGCGGGGTGCATCCCCATCACCCTCACCGATAGGCCATCCCAAGAAGGGCATCGCTGTGAGCATCCAGCAGCCATGTGGGTGCTGCTCCAGGGCAGGAGGTGGCCTTCAGCACGGCTGCTGGAAGGGTTTAAAGGCAGCAACATCCGCAGAGAGTCCCCTCATCCCTCCGGCACAGTTTGGAGCCCCCTCCCAGGCCGACGGGTCAGGAGCCCCCAAAGCGGGGTGCATCCCCATCACCCTCACCGATAGGCCATCCCAAGAAGGGCATCGCTGTGAGCATCCAGCAGCCACTTCCTCCTCCTCTTCCTCTTTCTCCTCCTCAGCGCTGACGCAGTACTGACCTGCCACAGTCCAGAGGAGAGGGCAACGAGCTGGGCACTGCCAGGCGCTGCCCGCTGCGCCGGCAAGGGATGCAGGCGTGGCAGGCACCCGTGCAGGCAGTTGCTGCCTGCCGTGGGCCAGGCAGGGCTGGGGCCGAGCCTGGCTCTAACCAGTCTGGTTTGTCAGCTTCTGGAAGCAGCTCAAATGCAGGCAGCCCGGGGCAGGCAGCCATGCCTGCGCCAATCAGCTCCCGCGGGAGCCGGGGAGGAGCTGGGCCCACGGCCGCCTCTTCCCCTTGCCCAGCAAAAATGGAGCCACCTCTGTGGCCAGCGCTCCCCACACTGCTGCCCGTGGGGCATGGCAGCGTGGACTCTGCTCTGCTCCCACTCCAGCCCCCCAGCTCAGACCCCAGTACAGCACACCAGCGTGGGCCCTGCGCTGCCCCAGTACAGCCCCCCCCTCATCCCTGTCCCCCGGGTCAGTCCCTGCGCTGGACCACCTTGCCTTGCCATGCCCCATAAGCAGCTTGCAGGGCTCGGAAGGAAGAGCGCAGGCTGGATAGTGCCCCGTGCAAGGGGATGGTGTCACCAGCGTGATGACTGCCATGCAGCAGCTCTGTGCTGGCTCCCTGGCTGTCCCTGAGGCGCGGTGACACCCAGCCCAGCCTGGGTCTGCAAGTGCAACAGCTCCTCGCAGCAAGACAGCACTGGCAAAGCAGCGGAGTGGAGACCTGAAAAACACCCTGTTTCCACTCACTGCGGTGCCATAGCTCAAGGAACGCCCCGGGGCGACGCTCACCCGTGCAGGACCCCACGATCTGGCATGTGGGAGGGTAGCTGGGTCACAGGCATGGTGTGGCACCGCTGTCCCTTCCTGTCCCAGAGACTGTCCCTGGCTGATTCATGCCCTGGACTCTAATTGCTATTTACACAGCGGCACCGAGTTCACTGAACTGGGGGAGGAAGGTGGTGGCACTGGCCCCACTGGGGCACCAGCAGGGCCAGGAGTGCGCACGGCCCTGAGGCTGCAGGGAAAGGGCTGGAGGCTGCCGGCTCTGCCGGCCCTGGCTGGAAGCAGCTCCCAGGACGGGGTGGAGGATGGGTCCAGCAGAGCAGGTGCTCAGGGAATGGGATAACTCAATGGGAACTGGCACTCAGGGAGCTCAGACCTCGGTATCAAGCAGGCTCAGGAAGACAAACCGGCAGCAGAGACAGAGGGATCGAAGCTTCCTCCTGTGCCCATCCCCGCTGGCCTCAGCCACTGGAGACAGGGGGAACAGGTCTGTCAAGGCAGCCTCCTGCAGCAAGCGCTGCTGCCGCTGACTAATGCCAGGGTGGAGAGACTCCCATGCAACAGATCACTTCCTCTAGGTCCTACCACAAACAACGGCCGCTGCCAAAGCCGTAGCTCTAGCAATGCCTGCGGGTGCTGCTCACCCAGCACAGGGACCCCAGGAGCTGGAGCACGCGGGACAACAGCTCGGTCCCACGCAGGAGCCAGCCAGCAGCATCCCACCACAGAGACTTCTCGCCTCCGCTCCGGCGGGGTCCGGGCATGGGGAGCCAGGCTTTACCCACGCCAAACCCACACCCCCAGGAGACGGGTTCCCCCTGCCTGCCGTGGCCCTGCTGCCATCAGGGAAGGGCTGGTTGGGTAAATCCACCCCCTCCGCCAGGCCCCTGCCCTGGCTGGGATAATCTCAGCCCAAGAATGATGCCAGAGGCGGATCATTTTGCTGGCTCCTTTATTCAGGCAGAGTTTGTGGGGAAGGGGGAGGCAGAGAGCCAGGCTTACGACCAGGTTTCAGACTGGAAGTGTTGGGACCGTTCCAGGGCTGTTAAATGCTCCTCTGCTTCGGAGGGCGACAGGCCACCTTCCAGCTGCAACACCGACTGCAGGGCTTCGGCCCCGCCGCTGGCATCTGCTTGGCATTCCTGGAAGAAAGAGTAGGCAGCGCGATGGAGGGCGAGCAGGAAAACCGGCGGCACTATCTGCATCCCCAGCGCTCCAGCAAGGCAGCCCATCAGCAGAGCAGCGGTCCCTGCGGCTGAACCCACCGCCCCCGGCACACAGCGCGGGCTGCCGCTGCACCAGGGCAGTGGGAACCTGCCTCACCCTGCAACATGGGCTGCCTGGCCTGAATAAATGACAGGCTTCGAGAGGCAGCTCGTACCACTCCCTAGAGAGCAGCACCGTTATCCACACAGGGCTTTTCGGCGCTGGCATTTGCAGGCAAAGATGAGGCCTCGGTACCCAGTCCCCGGCAAAGGAGCATCACAGCTCGGTAGCCTTAACTCTGGCCTCCGTATTGCTCCATTTCCCACCACCATGATTAGAGGGACATGGGGAATATGCACAAGTCGTAATTTATCAGCAGGAGGGCAGGAAACTGTCCTTTCATCTCAGGGGAAACATTCGATGGAAAACATGTCTGATCCTGAGCTGGGTAAGACAACTGCTGTGAAGGAACAGCCAGTTCAGTCCATCCGCTGCCTCCTTTCAAGACATCTGAAATGATTGTATTGATGGCAACATTTGTAACCGCAAATTTCAAACCTCAAAATAAGAGAAATGGTGAAGCAAACACGAGCTCCCATGTAGAAAATACCCAAATAGGATTCAACACTTCCAAGCACAATTATTTCTTATGGGAAATAAGAAATTCAGACTTTTTCCTGGAGAGAGTTTCATTTGATGAACTGACTGTGCGACAAAAAAACATCCAATAAAAAATTTCCCAGGCTGCTCCAATTGGCACGAGCATCTGGCAATGTCCTTGCTGTTTCCCAAGAACAAGGCAGAATTCTGACTTGCGTTTGAAGCTGATTAATGTCCCAAAATACACAGAAAGGAGGTCTTCTTTTTTTGGAAGAGTCGTATTGTTTCTGAGTCAGGCACTGATATGCAAATGCAAGATAATGTAGCCGGGCTTGTGATGGAAAACATGTCAAATATCTATTTTTTTGCAGAAAGAGAGAGGCGTTTTCAACCTTTTCACCCCTGGGCTAGATAAGCTGGGCACAGTCAGACAGAAGATACAGCCCTGGCTCCGCAGACCCTGCCCCAGCCGGCAAGGGCCTGGGAAGGCAGACACACCTTGCTACACGGCCCAGGGCCGCTGCTCAGGGACACACAGCCCAGGATTCACTTTCCGCATCTTTCTCCTAGTGTGGCTGAAGCTGCAATACTATTTTTAGGGGAAGAAAAGGCCATTTTCAGGCTAGCCCACCTGCACCTTCCTGTTTGGCACCCCACTGGCAGTCCACAGCAGATGTCTGGGCGCCAAGGAGGAGCGCTGTGATCCTGGGAGTCTTTACACACGGTTCGGGCTGTTCAGGACGGGTGGGAAAGTGCCCACTGCAAACAGTCACCACTCGTGCCAGGAGGATGAGGCTCTCAGATCCCACCTGCCTGATCGAGGCTGAGGGCCACCCCATGCCAGGGACAAAGACCCCAGCGAGATGGGTCTCAGAGCAACCCCGATGTCCAAAGGAGCATCCTCATGGCCACTCCAAAATCCTGCAATGGGGGGAGCTGTGCAAGCCATGCTCTTTCCAAGATGTTGAGGAAGAGGAATCTTTTTTGGCAGTCCCCAGGGTGTCTCCCATCAGCACCAGAAAACAGCAAAGAGGGAGAGGACGGAGCCATCGGGACACCGCAGACGGGCACCCAACGGTCTTGGCATGTGGGCTGTGGACAGAGGCACAACCCCAAGTCCTAACTGCAACTTAATGGAGGAAGGCAAACCCGAACCCCAGATCTGTGGGTAGGTACTACCCGGTTTGGGGTAAGGGCCCCAGGAAGCCCCATGATGCAGCGAGGCACGCCAGACCAGGTGGCAGCACTGGTGCAGCAGTGAACGACAGGGCGGTGGGCGGCCTGGCCTCCACTTCCTGGGCAGTAAACAAAAATCTCCTTCTCCCAGGAATGCAGCGAGGCCAGTCTTGCCCTGCGAGGCACCAGGGAAGTTCCTGCTCTTGTGCGGGACAGGCAGGAAAGAGCCTCCTGAAATTGCTGCTCCTGTCGACAGCAAGGCACAGGTTTGCACAGTGCTTTCCAGGTCACGGGGTGCACGACGAACACCATTGCCAGCCTCTCGCCAGCTCAAGGAGCCCAAAGCATTTCACAACCCTCACCCCAGGCAGCGGGTGAGCGGCCTCCTCCCTGCCATACAGGCAGCGACAAGGGCAGGCAGGTTAAGGGCTTTGCCCAGGAAAACAGCCACAAAGCCAGGAACGGAGCTGCAGATGCTCTGCCTCCAAAGGCCAGACCCCACTTTCTGGCCAACTGTTTGAGATTTCCAGTCAGGCCAAGGTAACCACCTGGTGAACTACTGCGCTGTCAAAAGAGGCAGGCTGCGGTGCAATGCGGCTCATCCCTGCCCCGGGAAGGCAGTTTCGGGTGCGAAGAGCCAGCCAGGATGTGCCGAGGGTCCCAAAAGCTGTTGCTCACGAGCCCCAGCACCGGTGGAGCTCTGGTATATTGTGCTTTAAAAGCCTCCTGCTCACCCAAGTGGCCACAGGAATTGCACAAGCCTTCTTCTCCGGTTTCACTGAGCCCTGCTGGAGGAGAGGGGTGTGAAGAGAGCCCGGGGCTCTCCCGTGTATGGATTTGCCGTGGGTCAGAGGCCAGGCAGCCCGCTGGCAGGTGACACCGGTCACAGGCACTGGCAGTTGGAGGGACAGACACACGGGGTTGGCTGAAGCAGCTTTACCATGGTGCCAGCTGTGCCCCTCCTAACCGGAGCACCGGGTAGGTGAGAAATGGCCCGCTCAGCCCAGGGCTTGCGGAGCAGGACATATGGAGAGAAGGAACAAGCTGATCCCTCTGCAGTGGTCACTGCAGCCCCCAGAGACCTACCAGGGTGCAGGGTGTGCTCGCTCTGAAGCCTGAGCTGAGGGAATGCCTCCAGGGAGGTAGAGAAGCAGCGATGTGCAGCCCCGCTCCCTCAGTCCCTGTGTGGAGACCTCTCACTCACCCAGCCAGGTAGACATGAGCATTCCGGCTGCTCAGCAGCTCCCACACCAGCCTTCGGTTCTCCTGGATGCGGTGCTGAACATAAACCTTCTCCTCCTGCAGGGAAACACGGCGCTGAGCCCGCCAGCCCTGGCAGCAGCCCCAGCCCCAGCTCCAGCACGCCTGCCGGGCCCCTGGGGACTGTTCTTGGGGGCTGTTTGCAAAAGCTTGGGGCAGTGCAGCCCCCCAGCACGGGGGGCACTGGGAGAGGCAGTTAGATCAACTCTCACTCAGGGAAGGGAATCGCCACACCTCATGTCAGTGCACTGGGATGGATTGGTGGGAGATGGGTGCAGGAGAAGGAGCTTCTGTGGGGAACACGCCCCAAGTAGCCCCCCCAAATCCTTTGGCTGCCCTCTGCCTGCTCCAGCTGTGGTGAACAGCCAGGGCCATGAGCTGGGAGCCCCTGTGAGGGCTCCCCTCCCGCCCTCTCCTCTCCCAGCATGGGCAGAGGCTTGGTGGCCCCCCTGTCCCAGGGCTGCTGCAGGGCAGAGACCCTTCCCCACACCCCCGGCTGCCAGTCCCAGCCCTGTCACCTGCTGGAGGCCTGAAACAGCTCGGAAGGGCAGGAAGCTTGGAGAGACAGCCTCAGTCCCACTCCCTGCCCCTCCACTGTGCTTAGAGACTGGATACGACTAGCTTTTGGCACAGTACAGCCCAACCGAGGCGAGGTCCCAAAGGGTTAATCCACAAGACTTCACACATCCAAGCAACTGCCTACGGCCCTGGCTTCTGCCCAAGAGGAACACCATTGCCAACGTGCCTGAATTCACTGGCTCCTCCGTGACAAAGGTGACACTGTGATGGAGGCCAGGCCCTCTGCTGCACGTCCCACCACGCCGGGCTCTGCACAGCAGTGAGCTGAGTCGCAGGCGCAGCCTCCTCCCCATGTCCTCCTCCCTCCTGTCCAGCCCCAAAGGCAACAAGGCTTTTGCTGCGATTCAGGCTCCCTGCACGCTGCAGTCTGGAGGTGTGCGTGGGAACAACCCCAAGCAGCAACCAGCCCTGGCTGTCACAAGAGCTGGTCACAGTGCAGTCAGCAGGTCCCACGCGGCTCCACTGGTTGCATTGCACTGGAGAGTCAGGTCATACCCGGGCACGGCCCTACTGCTCCGACCCAGCCACCAGCGATGCAGGAGGTAAGCAAGCCTGTCACAAGCACGAACACAGCCAGCCGGTAGCTCAGCTTCAGCATCGTTAACATTAATCAGCTAAGTGCTGACAGAGGCTCTGCCAATGAGGCTGGGGCTCTGAGCGGGTCACTTAAGGACCTGCAGCTACCTAGAAACCAGAGCACCCCAGTGACAAACTCAGGTCACGATGTCTCAGCTAAACCCCAGGGCATCCTGCTGAGAATTAGCAACAGCCGTATTAGGCTGGGATCAATCAGTCTGCACCGCGGGGCAGACATGATGTGACAGAAGGTCACTGCAAAGGGGACCTTACGGAGAGAAGAGGGAAATCCTGCTCAGCTACGGAGCATCCCAGCTTCTGCCGGCTCTTTGAAAACAAACTTTTTGATGAGTTAACGGCTGTGGTATCTCCTAGAGCTGCAGGCAGAATGGCCCAATGCGGCACATCCTACCTGGCTGCGCTCCCACTCGCCTCCCTGTGCGGCACTGCAAGGACTCAGTGGCAGAAGACCCTCATGACAAACTGCTTCGCCCCCCGAAGAAGGCAGAGAAGGGAAGCCGGGAGGCACACTCCAATGCAAGTCCCGACCCTCCAGAGTCTGCGAGGGCAGGAGGAGGCTCTGGGGACGCTCTCCAGATTTGGGGAGCAGCAGGTCCACCCTTCACTGTGGGAGCCATCAGAAAAAAGGCAGACTGGTCATCCAATAAACCTCTGCAGTGCTGCTCCTGTTCATCAAAGACTTGGAAAGCCTTCACAGAGGCATTCAACTCATGCCTTACAAGTGACTGGATAAAAGATGCTGGCTTCGTGTCAATGCATGCACACAGCCAGGAGAAAAGGACCAGTGCAACTGAGCTACCTAGAAATACCCATTCTCACTGACCCTTTTTATCAGATCTCTCTATTTCAAAGGCAGGCTGAGCTTTCAGTGCCATCAAGGGACAGGGCAAGGCAGTGAAACAGTCCCAGCTCACAGAGCCTCTCCGGCAACGTAAAAAGCCCTGCAGCCCAGAGAGGGGCTGAGAGCTGCCCACCAAAGACACTGCCTGGGAAATAAGGGAGCAAAGTGAGGGGCTGAGTTGTGGGGTGTTTGTACCTCTGGGGAGCTTTCTCCTGCACGGCCGAGGCTCGGGGAGAGCTGGCTCAGAGGCACCACGAGCTGGGGCAGGAGGCCAAGCTCCTCAGCTTCAGCCAGCAAAGGAGGGACATGGTGGGGAGGGTGGCACTCAACCAAGAAAGGTTACTGCCTGGTGACCCCCCCAGGAGGCTTGGGAGCCTTTTATCACTCATGTCGTCCAGCCAAACAAAGCTGGCTAACGCCTTATCTGCTCCGGCACTCGCCAGCCCTGTCCCAGCAACCTTTCTAGCTCAACTCAGCCAGACATGTCCCAGCTGGGCAGCACCACTGCGCTGCTGGTGGGGATCCCGGCCAGCACCCAGGTGGTGCAGGGGAGTGAGGTGACCACTGTGCCACCCCACCAGGCCCTTCACAGGCCATGCCCACAGGTACAGGGGCTAGAAACACTGGCAGACTCCCATCAGTGCTGCCTGAGATGCTTCTGTATCCACCCTCCTCCTCTGGGAACTAACCTGGTCCCTGGAGAAAGCAGTGAAGAGCGTCAGGAAGCCCTTCGTCACCAGCTCTTCCCACTCCGCCTGGCAATAGAAGTCCTTGGATTTCTGGCGGCAGCCGAAGAACAAGCAGTTCCCTGCAGAAAGCAGACCAGAAGGGCCGTGCTGGGTGGACCAAATGCTCTGTGAACATTGGGGACCATTGGTGCCCATGGGACCTGCAGCAGACCCCCAAGGTTCTCACCTCTTTGCCAGGCTTGGCTGACAGCCCTGGCCTGGAAGGGCCAGGAGGACTCAGGAACTGTGCGACCATTAAGCCAGGTGGCTAGTGGCAACTAGAAGCCCCTGTGTGCTGGGAAAGCAGGAGGTGGGGGGCAGGTAGGGCAAGAAGAGCCCTCCAGGGCTGCCTGTTCCCCTCCAACAGACTCAGCTTCCTGCTGAGACCCACAGCTGAGCCAGGTGAATGAGGATGGGACAAGGGCAGAGGCACGACTCCTTGTGCGGCAGAAGACAAGTTCCACAACCCATCTCCACTCACAGAGAGCCAAGAAAGAGCCTCTGCAGAACCCTGCCCTGACCCAAGGAGCAGCCTGGCAGCACAGCCTGTGAATAACCACACAGGTTGCACACACCAGGCTCTAGTCCTCACCTGCCCCAGAGCCCAGCTTGCTCCCACTCAAACACAGCAAAGCCTGGGCCTGTCTGAACCCTCAGGAGCCCCCAGTCCCTCCTTCCCATATGCTGAACACAGACCCGCCTGCAGCAAGGAGCATCCCGAGTCCCTCCCAGGACCATCCCTCACCTCTACATCCTTGTGCCACCCGCTCCTGTATCGCTGCTCGGAAAGGTGCCACCCCTGTGCCAGGGCCAATCATGATCACGGGGGTGTCAGGGTCAGCTGGAAACTTCATTCCTCCTTTCTTCACCCAAAGAGGCACCCGGACATCACCTGCAAAACAAACAGACTGACTAGCATCACCCCACCACCACTGCACCTGTGGCACCCTGCGGAGGGTAAGCTGGGCATCCAGCTCTTCCAGGATGCTCAGAAGATACGGACGGCACCTGGCTTACCACCACCCCGGCACCACGGCACTCCTGGTGCCATGGGCACACTATGTGTGTATGAAAAGCACTTCAGCTGTCTCAGCACTGTCTCTGCAAGCACCTGAGTGAACCCCAGAGCAAGGCAGGAGTCTCACAGCACGCAGGCTGTGGAACAGCCTTCTCCTCACACAGCTGGTGCCAGGGAAGACAGCAGTAGAGGCGAGCAGAGATCTCAACCTGGCTGTCAAGTAAGGGAGGGCCAAACCTGCCTCCTCTGGAAGCCAGAGGAGGGGTGAAGATCCCCATCTAGGTACTCAGAGAAGACCCAGTCTTGCCCTGGAGTCATACAGAGCAATTCTCTACCATCCTGTAGCAGGGAGGCCCTGTGAGCTTGTCACATTTGCTTGGGGACCCACAGCTGGAGGGGTTTTGTGATTAGAGCAGATGAGCAGCACATACAGGCTTCACAGGACAGGATGGATGTACTCAAAGGAAGGACCATTCTTCCCAGAGCTGGTGCTATGGGGCTCGAGGTGTCCAGCAGTCAGAGCACTAGCAGCTCCAGGATGCCAGGAACAGCCCACTGTGGGACAGCGGGACACACTGGCGCTGGGAGCAGGAGGGTCGAGCAACTGGGAGAAAAACAGGAGCTCAGGGTGCTCAGGGCAAGCTGGAGGAGCATGCCATGCTCTGAAGAGCATAGGAGCAGTGAGGAAGGATGGCTACTGTGAATTCAGCCTGCCCGGCCAAGCCAGCGCGCTCCAGCTCCCTGTGGTGGTGGTCCTCCACCCAGGGTCCAGGCAGTTCCAGCACGCACGCAGCTCCACCACAGTCCCGTGGGATCAGCACTGTGTGCTGTGGCAAGCACACAGAGTCCTCACAGAATCCAAGCAATGTTACCTTGCTCTGGGTTGAGAGAAGCCAACCAGGTAGAGCAGAGACCACGGCGGGGTTTGCTGAGCCGTGTCTTGTACCGCACTACTGCCACGAGGATCTGGATCCGGTCAGGGTGAGCCTGTGTCCAGACATGAGCCATGAGAAATGCGAAGACACCCAGCACGGCTCTGCAGGAAGAGCCCAGTGCCTCCTCCAGGGACAGAGCCTGGGCTCAGCTCCTGCCAGAGCATCTGCAACACTCATCCTAGTCTGAAACGGCCGCTCAGACACAGAACGCAGCACACCCTCGCCCAAAACTTTTCCACTGGGGAAGGGGGTTTTCCCCTTGTGCACTGCTGCAGGAACGCTCTGCACAGCTGGCAATGGCGACAGAGACTGTCCAACCCAAGAAGCCACCATGGAGGGCAAAGGCCACTCGTGCTTGGGCTGACATCTGCCAAGCCACCCAGGCCAGGTCCCACTGCCACCTCCCGGCAGCAGCAGGAAGCAGCACTCCCCCTTCCCACGGCCACACCACCCAGGGAAGCTCCCAGCCTCCGTGGCATCACCTCCCACTGCTCCCCCTGACAAGGACGTCAGACCTCTGCAGTGCACTGGGCCAGCCCCGGCACTTGCAGGGCTACAGGAGGGCAAGCACCCTAATCCGGAGGCTGGTACAGCTCTGGGGTTTACAGCCAGCATGTCGGGCTGACGCAGGCTCACAGTGGAGCAGGTGTTTGGATGGGATGTGGGTGCTCAGGGAGTCCGGGAATACAGCCTGAACATCCGCAGCGTGCACGGCACCAATGGTCAGCCCTGGCCCTGCCAGATCCTCAACTCAGAGCCGGACATGAGGCCGAAAAGGGCTGAGCTCTTACCAGCATGGAGGAGGCGATGGAGAAGGCGCGGGGTCTGATGCGAGGGATGAGGTCCAGCAGGTATTCGGGTGGAATGGCACATGTAGTGTGAGGGAAATCCCAGAGGGCCTGCAAAGCCAAGGCGAGGTGAGACCTGGTACACCCCTGAAGGCAGCCTACCTCCTTCTCAGGGTGTCAGTCTGTCCCACACTGCTGTGCCATGCTGCCCTCGACTGAAGGCACCATGCCAGGTACCTCTGAGCACCAACCGCCCTGTCCCACTGCCCTCCCCTCGCCCCCAGGCTGCAGCACAGGGCCCACCACAGAGCCCAGAAGGATTTGGAGCAGGTCTTAACCACCCGTGGAAATCCAAGAACACTTCAAAAAGTGGGTGAAGCAGATTAAATTCCCCAGCCAAGAAATTATGGCTGACTATCTGCCTGGGTGCTTTATGCCACGGCACAGCCCTCACGGAGTGGGTTTGCCATGCTCCTCCAGCCCTACCTCGAGAGTGGTCCTGCGGGGCCGGTTGCAGTAGCTGTACAGCTCTTCCTGGCCCTGTGCAGAGCTGAACTCCTGCAGCTTCTCCCGCTCCAGCTCGTTTGTAGAGAAGTAGGACAAGAGCTCGAAGAAGGAACGCCGCGGCACGCAGGAGATGTCCAGGTAGTGGGTGACCAGGTGCCGGATGGTGCAGGGCTGCGGCAATAGGGCAGGGAGGGATGTGCCTGCAAGACAAGGCAGCGGCAAGAGCTCAGTGCCAGCATCGGGGCAGGACACCCAAGCGCCGCCTGCCTGCTGCCCCCACAGCTCTGGCGCTCCCCAGGATGGGGCAGCAGTGTGAGCAACCCGACTGGGGTCTTGGGCTGGGGAGGCTGCAGGATCCTCCACGCTCTGGGCTGGGGGCTGCAACAACACAAGGCACGGGTGCAGGCTGGACACTGCTGGGTCCCTCCCATGAGTCACACTGGCCCTAACGTGGGATCCGCACGCACAGAGCGCTGGGAGGGAAGGAGAGCCCCCGTGCTGCGAGACAGGCAGAGGTGCTGTATCCGTTAGCCACTCCCAACTCCCTATTAATCGGGTCGAAAGCAAAGGAAAAGCAGAGCTCCAGGCTGGGCCAGAGTTCAGGAGGTTGCCCTGGTCCCAGCAGGGAGGGAAAGGAGCAGCGGGCAGGACCTACCGGGCTCTGTGGGCTTCAGCATAAAGTGTCTGTCTGGATCCAGGCGCAGGAGCTGGCAGAACTGCTGCACGTCTTCGGGGCAGTTCTGGGGCTGGATCATCACTACGTCTCCCGCGCTGAACCTGTGGATGCAGCGGGACCTGCCGAGGGCAGCAACAGGGCAGGCCCGTGGGCACAGCACCGCCAGCCCGACCAGCACCCGCACCAGGGGAGAGGCCACAACTCAGCCAAATTTCCAGTGTCACTAACGTTATGCGCCCTAACCTGACAAGGCAAAGGGCTGGTCCACGGGCAGGACCCACACTGCCATACACCCCTGACTTTGTCATGGAGGGGGACAGCACAGCAGGGACCATGTCCATGAGGCTGCAGCCTCAGATATTACTGAAGAAGGGGAGTGGAAGAGGAAGGCAGGCTACAGGACACCTGATCCTGCACAGCAAAGCCTGGGGGAGTCAGGAAAATGCTCACGTGATCCCTGAGCCCGTGACATCGAACTCGATGAGCCGGACATCCTGGAAATGGGATTCTGCCGTGACCCGCTGATTGGACACCACCCGGGCAGCAAAGGGATGCAGCTCGGAGGGAACAGCCCTGGGTGCTGTCGGCTGGAGCAGGCCACCATCAGGGTGCAGGGAGTCCTCAGCCAGGTAGTGCAGGGTGTATTTTGGGGGTAGGCTGTGGGGAGGAGAGCAATGCAGTGTGGTTACCTCCACGCCACAGCTCCTCTGCTGTTGTAGTGCTAGAGGCTGGAGGCAGGGAGAGGCCTGAAGTCTCCCACTGTATCCACCACCCATCGTCCCTGACCGCTGGAGCTGGCCTGTGGTAAGGGAACACAATGCCGTCTGCCAGGAGAAGAAGATCCCAAAGGCTCCAGAGCAGGCAGAGGGAGGCTGGCTGGGCACACACGCTCAGCTGGTCTGCCAAGGGCAGAGGCACATCAGGACAGCAGATGGGCAGAACCCTGCCGGGGCAGCTGACACACACACCCGGGGACAAGGGGACATCCCATCCAGAGAAAGATGGGCCACCCGTGGCCAATTCCAAGGGATACTTCGGACACCAGAAGCTCTGTGGGGAGGCTTCCTGGTCAAAGCAGGGCATGTCTCCACCCCGTAGAACAGCCAAGGAAGCACGGCATTTCACACCAGCCAGCTCCAGCAGCCCCTGCCTACCCTCTGCACTCACCGTACATCTGGACTGATGATCTCAAGGCCAGGAGGGAGAGGATACAAGGCGAGGATCTTGTCCCATAAGGCCAGGAGCCATGGATCGACCACTGCATCTGGCCTGCAAGCAGGAAATTCGGGCTGCAGCAGTGCAGCATCATCCCTCCGGCTCAAGCGCTGCTACCCCTGCACCCAGACAACGCTGGGCTGCCCCTGGGCAACCACCTCTGCTCCCCTTTCGCTGCACAGTTGCTCCACGCGGTTCCCTTCCAGCTTCAGGTCTGGAAACACATCTCAGCCACCCTAAGCACTCACTTGCTCTCTGGGACCCAACCACTGACCTCTGAACAGAACCACCAACCCCCCAAGCACAACCAGTGGCAGTCACCGACCCCCCAAGCCACACACAGCCTCTGCTCCATGTGAGGAGAACAGCAGAACGGCTCAGGCTGCTGTAATGCCTGCAAGTATGCAGCTGTGTGACACAGCCGTCCCCTGGTCTGAACAGGACTGGGGCAGAGCCAGGAGACCTTGGCACATGCTGGGGGATGTGGGACACCCTGGAGAAGCAAGCGACCCCGGTCCCAGCACAGGAGAGTTCTGAGCATAGAATCATAGAATAGAATCATAGAATCATTCAGGTTGGAAAAGACCTCTAAGATCATCGAGTCCAACCGTCGACCCAACACCACCATGTCCACTAAACCATGTCCCTAAGCGCCTCATCTACTCGTCTTTTAAATACCTCCAGGGATGGGGACTCAACCACTCCCCTGGGCAGCCTGTTCCAATGTTTCACCACTCTTTCAGTAAAGACATTTTTCCTCATGTCCAATCTAAACCTCCCCTGGCACAACTTGAGGCCATTTCCTCTCGTCCTATCACTTGTTACTTCGGAGAAAAGACCGACACCCACCTCGCTACAACCTCCTTTCAGGTGGCTGTAGAGAGCGATGAGGTCTCCCCTCAGCCTCCTTTTCTCCAGGCTGAACAACCCCAGTTCCCTCAGCCGCTCCTCATCAGACTTGTTCTCCAGACCCCTCACCAGCCTCGTTGCCCTTCTCTGGACACGCTCCAGCACCCCGACGTCCTTCTTGTAGTGAGGGGCCCAAAACTGAACACAGTATTCGAGGTGCGGCCTCACCAGGGCCGAGTACAGGGGCACGATCACTTCCCTACTCCTGCTGGCCACACTATTTCTGATACAGGCCAGGATGCCGTTGGCCTTCTTGGCCGCCTGGGCACACTGCCGGCTCATGTTCAGCCGGCTGTCGACCAGCACCCCCAGGTCCTTTTCCGACAGGCAGCTTTCCAGCCACTCTTCCCCAAGCCTGTAGCGCTGCATGGGGTTGTTGTGGCCGAAGTGCAGGACCCGGCACTTGGCCTTGTTGAACCTCATACAGTTGGCCTCGGCCCATCGATCCAGCCTGTCCAGGTCCCTCTGCAGAGCCTTCCTACCCTCGAGCAGATCAACACTCCTGCCCAATTTGGTGTCGTCTGCAAACTTACGGAGGGTGCACTCGATCTCCTCGTCCAGGTCATTGATAAAGATATTGAACAAGACCAGCCCCAAAACTGAGCCCTGGGGAACACCGCTCGTGACCGGCCGCCAACTGGATGTAACTCCATTCACCACAACTCTCTGGGCCCGGCCGTCCAGCCAGTTTTTGACCCAGCGCAGAGTCCACCTGTCTAAGCCGTGAGCCGCCAGCTTCTCTAGGAGAATGCTGTGGGAGACGGTGTCAAAGGCCTTACTGAAGTCCAGGTAGACCACATCCCCAGCCTTTCCCTCGTCCACTAGGCGGGTCACCTGGTCATAGAAGGAGATCAGATTGGTCAAGCAGGACCTGCCTCTCATGAACCCGTGCTGGCTGGGCCTCATCCCCTGGTTGTCCCTCTCATGCCTTGTGAGCAGAGACCATCAAGTTCACAGAGAGCAGCAGGAGGCTGCTGGCCACACCTGGAGCGCAGGAGCAGACCCAGAGTGGGAGCAGCACACTGCTGTCCCCAAGGCTGGGGTAAAGCATACACAGCCCTGCCGTCAGCCCGAGGACAAAATTGTAGTGCACCCCAGGGCTCCCCCTCCTGCCACCCCTCCACTGGGCTCTTACCCCAAGTCATGCTGGTCATCTCCCAACGCCACCGGCAGCAGAGGGTTGCCCCCAAGCTGTAGCACCCGTTTGTGCAGCTTCTTCGCAACAAAATTAAACCTGAGCAGAGAATAACCGCAGCTGCAGAGGGCAGGACTCCTCCAGCAGGACAGCAAGTGCTGGCTACATGAGCCAGCACAGGCTGCCAGGGCTATGCCGGAGCAGCACAGAGGCAGGTCCGGCCAGAGCCAGCAGACACGATCTGGCCCAGCACCCTGCCCAGCCCACGCCTCCATCCCGGGGCAGCCTGGGAGAAGCGGCTGGCTGCCACTTGCTGGGCCACACAGGCTGTGCCCAGCTTCCCAGAAGGGACTCGGGGAGGTCAAGCTTCCCTTCAGGGCAGCTTGTGCTGCCTGCCCGGGCAGAGAAACACTTCCTTCCCTCTAGCCCATCACTGGCCCACGGAGCTCAGGCACACTCCCATCCCTCCCACTACAGCTCTTTCGGGCACATGGGAACAATCTTTTGGGAGAGAACTGGGACCAATGGGGCTGGCTGCCACCTAAAATTCTGTATTTCATGTCCACTGAAATTGCTGTGGCGCAGGCTTTCCTGCAATTCGGAGAACTGCGTGGCTGTAATAACTGACTGAAAAATGATGTCTGACACACTGCAGCAAAGCATCTGCTTGAAGAGGCCGGGAGGAAAGAAATGGGGAGAAGCCCAGTTCCTGGGGGTTAGGAGGGACACGGGCTGGTAGAGCAAGGATTTTTAAGGCTGGTGTGAATTACGTTTCATCTGAGCTGCTGCTCTAGAGTCAGGCTCTGTCTCCCCTTGCCCCTTCATTCTCCCAGCCACTCTGGTCTTGCCTGCAGCCAGAGCTGAGAGGAGCAGCTGTCACGGGCAGGCAAGGAGCCACAGAGCTGCTTACTTGGGATAGGAGGAGTCGCCAAGGCCCAGCACGGCATAGTCCAGCTGGCAGAGGGAACCGGGTGGCAGGTTCTTCCGGAACAGAAACCGCCAGAACATCTACGAAGGACACGGCCGGGGAGTCACACTCCTGCCAAGGAAGCCTTCCCTGCCTGCCTGTCTGTCCCTAGCTCCCCGCTCGCCCACCCACCGGGTCCCTCCTGCCCTCCGCTGAGTCCCAACAGAGCGGGGAGCACAGCCTTCTGCAGAGGTGACCCAAGAAAGTAGCCACCACTGCTACGTGCCCGGAGGACGATGCCCTGTGAGCCCTCCACAAACCCGTGGCTCTTGCAATGGCGGGGCCCCTCTCAGCTGTTAAGCTGCTGAAACCTCACCAGCTCCCTGCCCGTGTCCCATCAGTAACGTGAGATGTGACTGGTGCTGCTCCAAAGCTCCCCACTCCAAAAACAACCATTGCTCAAGCTGCTTCAAGAGAAAAATCCAGTCACTGGACCAGGAATATAAAAGCAACACAGACAGGAACACGTCCTACCTTCATGTTGTCAGGTGGGTCACCCTGGCCGGTGGTTGCACACACAAATACCACCAACAGCTCATTGATGAGGTTGGCCTGTGGGCACAAACATGGAAAGGCACATTCAGGTCAGCAGCCTACAAACACGTGTCCTGGCTGTCCCGACATGGCTGCCAACAACACATCGAGTCCACGGACAGACACACTCGGAACAAAGCCCGCAGCCCGGCGTGCCACGACCTCCTCTACAAGGACTGCAGCAGCATCCGCTGCCCACACACTGCCTGCAGCATCGGCTCCTTGGTGCTCCTCGCCTTGCAGGGTACGGCTGAGCATCTGTCATCTAACACAAACTCTATCCCAAGAGTCACTGCTCAGTTTTCACACGTTTTCAGCTGAGTTAAGCACAAGCTGCCCTCAGGAAGGGCACAGAGCCAGGGTCTGGTGAAATACAGCAGGTCACAGGAAGGGTGGAGGACGACCGAGTGCCAGAAATGGGGTTGGTGAAGATCGAGCAAGACCAGAAGTGCCTGGAGCACCCCTCTGCGTCACCACTCACCACGTCATAGCTGTCCAGCGCCTCCACTCTGCACTGGAAGTGCCGTCGCTTGGCTTCTCTGCCAATTCTCTCAGCTGTGTCTTGAGCCGTCCCAGTTTGGCTGCCAAAAAGAACAAGGAGTTTCCGTTCCACCATCTGTAAGAGACAAAACCAGAGAAATCACCAGGAGGTGGAGGGAGATGAGGGGAGGCAGAGCTGGACTTGCTCTGGGCTGGGCGTCACACCGACACCCACTCAGGCTTCAAAGGAGTGCCGGTGGCTGTGGGTTCAGGTGACATTTGTGGGGTTGACACTGCAAACAGCAAGCACAGGGATGGTTGAAAAGTTCGGAGGCAGCAGCGGGATTCAAGGCTCCCGGGCTCCCTTTCCACCCCTGCGCACTGCCGAGTGACACCCCCTTCGCTGCAGCGTCCCGGTCCGCAGCAGCAGCAGCGATGCTATTATGCTCCTTGTCCCCGCTGCCAGGACAAAGGGAGGGGGCTGGCTTGGGGGTCTAAAAATCCACGTTCAGGCTCATTTTAACTGTCCTCATCACCGCAAGCTCAGCACACCCCTGGGATCGGCTGTTCCCCATTCCTAGTTTTAACGTCTCTGTCTGGCCTGCGAATCCCCACCCGAGGGGGCCTGGGGAAGAGCCTGGAAGCTCGAGGACAGAGAAAAGCGTGACCAGACACACGCTGCTCCCAGCTGCGCTCTCTCGAGCAGTGAGGGCCCTGTGTATTACCAGCAATCGCACCCCGCAGGGAATCCAACCCAGTCGGATGCCCCAGCTGCAAACCGCCGGTCTCCCCGTGGGCAGCGTGCGCTGCTTCCACAGTTAACGAAACAAATCCAGACTAACTAAAAAAAAAACAAAAACAAACCCAAAACCAAACCCCTAAGGAGAGAACATGACCGGCCCCC